GGACCCGGTCCATCCACCATCTCTCAGGATATCTAGTGAGGCTTTCGACTTATCCATTTATAAATTCACATACTTTTTCATTTTTCTTAGTCTCAATTACCCAATCAACATGAATACGTAAACTAGTAACGCACACTAAACAAGACAACACAACATCGGATTCACAATAATTCAAACCATAATAGATTAAACAGTGATTCATGCATATGAAATCACAGAATAAACAATCAAATACTATACTGCATTTAGACTGTAAAATACATCAAACAGGAACAGACCGACAAATACATAAGGTTCGAGCCCCATTAGCATATCTATTAAATTCATAAAATATTATTTTATCATTTATTAAGCTTTAATGGCGTGATAGGAAATAAGGTGAGGAATCCTTATTTGTTTCGGAGTCTAAAATCGATTTTTTACTGTGCCTACGGGTAGTCCCTAGATTCCCTAAATTTTTCACCAGAAATTGAAACACACTTTTGGTACCTGTACATGTCCCCAGAAAACCCAAAATAAGACCCAGGGCCTATTCGACCAATTTTAGAATTTCGGCACGACGGTGATCCGCCTCGGGTTGGCCGTTTTTGGCCAGATTCGGCCAAACTTGCATTGGTTCCTGTGATAAAACACTCATAAGGCCCTCAGTGGGCAAAAAAAGTACAGAAAACCTAGACTTATCGGTGGCAGAGCTCTCGGGTGCGGCGGCTCCTCCAGCGCGAGTTGTGATTTGGTGTTTTGCTCCGGTTAACCTGTAGAGAAAAGAACGGTGGTCACAGTGGTGTAAAAATTACATCGAACGTGAACTGGGAAGGGCCTCATCGGAGGCAAAAATCGAGGGAACCTGCGACGGTGATGCTGGGCTTCGGCGGTATTTTTCGGCTAATTGGCTGACGGTTTGGCTCTGATTTGGCCACAGATGGATTCAGCATCGAAAACCGAGCCAGTGAGAGAAATTTTACCTCGTTTGGTGACTGAAAAATCCTCCGGTGCGGCGGCGGATGGCGGCAGCCGGTTCCTCCGGTGGCTGAGTCGTCTTCTCCAGCGAGGGCTCTGGCGGCTACGGTTTGGGTTTGGGTGTGGGTGAGGTTATTTATAACATTTCCTTTTAATATGAGTCGTCCATCACGATTTAATCTGGGCTGTCCGATCGCGATTAAATTGGGAATAAATATGGGTTGTCCATCGCGATGCGATCTGGGCCGTCCGCATGCGTGAGATCTAGGTCGTCCATGCGCGCTTTTGATCTGGGCCGTCCGTGCGCACGGGAACGGATCTGGATAGTCCGATCGCGCGCACGCGGATCACCCATGTGTCTCCGTCCCGCGTGACTTCCCGTGCGATCAGACATGTGTCTCTGTCCCGTGTGACTTCCCGCATCAGTGACCCTGCCACGCGGTGTGTCCTGGTTGGCCGAGGCTGCTGACGTGGTACAATTTTTTAAAATTACGTTTTGACCCCCGATTTTCAATTTTTTTTTTCAAAAACACCCTCATAATCTAAATTTTTACCCATTTTTCCCAAAATCATTTTCAATTAAATCCCAAAAATAATTTTACCCTATTTTATCATTATTATTATTTTTATTTCTATTAAATTAAATTAAAACCTTATAAATTAATTATTAAAATAAAATAAAATCAAATAAAATTCTAATAATAAAAAAAAAAGTTTTGGGTGTTACATGCAATTACATAAAATTTTTAATTTCCTAATTAAATATTAGTAGTTAATTTTTTAATGAACTCAATTGGTTTTACTCAAGTTAGTTTATTTATTATTGTAACAGCCCCGGAA